CATATTAAATACATGTCTAATATCGTATATTATTTTAGAACGAATTTGAAAATTCACTTTTTACGTAATTTTCTTTCTGTATGATTTGAGGTTTTCACAGCTGTGATTATGAAGATTTCTGTCTTCTGGGTTGTTGCGCCGTGTAGTATGGTAGATGTTTACCAAAGTTTCAGAGGTCATATTACCTCCGTCATCAGGGCGATGAATCCCATACTACACGGCGCAACAACCCAGAAGACAGAAATCTTCAATTTTCTTTCTGATTTTATATAAGTTAGGTTATAGAATTGGAGAATTTTATCAAGAAACATACTGCAGAACATAATCCACTCTAATAGAACATAAATTACTTTGTGGTAATCTCTCTTAAATTAATCCTTGTAGGAATGCCAAAAAGGGGTGAAAACCAGCAGTGGTGTGTTTGGTAGGGTCAAAGTTGGTTGAGGTTTCCAGGGCTATGTGAATTTGGACAGTTGTCCTCTGAACTATCATTTGGTTGAAGATGAAGGCAGCATTTTGTTCTGAAACAATGGTATGCAAGCTGAAGACTACACTATGCAATATCCTATTTAATCACCATCTAAATTTATATAAATAGTTCTGAACGTTTAGGCAGCTAGGCGAATATACTGAAATGACAAAACGCCCAACTTATTTTCTCTCTTGACTAAAGCGTACTTAACGACCGTGGAATCGAACGTCAAGGTTTCTAGCAGAATCGTTAACGTCCAAAAGTAGACATGTAACACACATAATGTGGTAAGAATTTCTGGAGTATTTTCAAATTTTTCATACATCAAATCCTGTCTTTAATACATTGCTAAACAAATGACCACCCTGTTTAACCCACAAAGCAATCGTTCTGCCAAATCGCTGATTGTACTGACTCACGACTTGTGTCACTTTTTTAATTACAATTGTCAATATTGCCATCTATTGGCATCCTCATTATCTCTGCAAATTAAGTGTGAGTCATAGGCGGTTTACCCACTCCGAGCCATGGCCTTGCTGGAGACTTTTGCTGCCAGCTTGAAGAAAAAATGTACTTATGTAACAAACTCATTTTCATCGACGTACTTCCTAGTAAGGGTTATGCTTACATTATGCCTCCTTTGCGCTAAAATACTGTCAGGGGAAACTCTTGCTACCCATTGCGATGGCCAGATTCCTCACCACATCGCTTCCTCCTACATTTACATCGGCCTCCTGTTTTGTCCCCCTCTCCCGTGTTTCTCATTCCGTCACGCCACAAACACGCATACCCATTATGACCTCCATCCTGGTTTACAGGAGGTCTATTATGATAGTCGACCCACCAGACTGTACCCCTCGAATGTGTGGTTATGTTCGCAACGCCTCGACTCAGTTGTTCAAGTGACCGCAACTGTATCAGTTGATTCGTAAAATGAGTCGCTCTTTTGTTCTTTGCTTATGTGATTCTTTGTCAAATGTTTCTCTTTTGCTCATATTTTAGTGTTTATTTGACGTTGAACAAGAAAGCAGATTAGATTAATAACCTTTTTTTTTTTAAAAAAAAACGAATCAGCGACTTCAGATGTTCGCGAAATCTGGCGGAATTAGCTTATATTCGTCTTTAAATACATAAATCTATTTCGGCATTAGTTCTGAATGTCTGTGATGTTTTATTTCGTATTAAACACTGGAAAACTGTAAACGATGATGAACATCATTTTCAAAGATGTCCATGTTATGTGTTATTTTAAAAGGAACGAATAGTTTGTGTGAGGTGTGTGTTAACATTATATCTGTTGTAACTTTAAATATTTCACTGCATTTTAAAGTTATGAAATTAAATTAGAATATTACGATTTTGCAGTAAATTGTATATATAAATGTTTTATAATAATGACATTTAAACCATGTGTAGAGACCTCTTTGTGATAATATCTTTGCAAAACAGTAGAACTTTAATATTTGCATTGTGGAATATATTTTACATACATTCATGAATCAAAAACAGTTGAAGGAAAGTGTTAATAAATCGTGCACGTTGTTCAGCGGATATCCAGCTAGGAATGTTAACTCCTGCAATGAAATATTAAGTAGTTAGTTGCTTGGATACTGGCCATGTGTTCCAATTGTGACACGAACGATATTTTAACGTGACATCCGTAGATTATTTAATTTAGTTGTGGAGCAAAAAATTGAGTTAATGACTTACTAATTAATGTGTGTGCAAGATGGACCACGTAATTTAATATCAGGTGTACACCAAGGAAACATTTACAACAGACAAGCTTAGTTCCCCTTTGAAGGTAAGGCGTTCTTTACATTTCCAGAAATTTAAATTAGCATAGTAAATATTTTATTGGCTTTACAATCTGTTGTACACGTGGTAACTACTTTCTGCAAGGTAAAGTTGTTTCCGGAATTTTGACACAGAAAAAGAATTGCGAAATGTTAACTCTTTCGCGACAAAATCCTTTTACACCTTCCGTGAGTCTGACGGCCTGAACCAACCTTCACTGCCCGATAACAGGAACGTAGTGGGAAAGTAAGTATTAATAAATGAATGGAAAGTCTTGGGCAAGGGGGAGGCAGGGATTGAACTGCCGTGTTATCTTCCTGAAGGATTGGGAATAATTTAAGACTTTGTGTTAAAGGAGCCTTTTTTTGTTGGAGAAGTGTCATTAGGACAGTTACTGGTGACAGGTTGTGATAGGACATGTTCAGAATTTTGGTTATTCCTACAGCTGCTAGTTCATTGAGAAAGGATTTTCTCTTGCCGCACACGATGCTTTGTGCCACTCTTTGGAAATCCTACTTAAGATTTGTATGAAATGTGTTACTGAGGCTGAAATGTCAATAGAGGTAACTCTCGTTATACGCGGGAATTGCTTATCTGCGAATCGCCGAGTATATCGTGTAAAACTGGAAACGTATAACAATCGTCATTTTGATGTTGAGTTGGCGCCAACATTATTTGATACAAGCTTATCGTCTTCATCTCCTTCCCTCAGAAGCCTGGCGAATGTCAGATACAGGCGTTGCTTTTTAAATTATGCTGAAATGAAACCGTGGATATGCGAAAGCGCGTATAACGAGAGTTAATGATTTTGCTAAAGTTCGTTCAAGCAAGATCGCGTGTTAATACAAAGTGGAATGACGAGACACGCTATGCGCTCAGCTGTCTGGCTGGATCTTCAACAGATGAACCGTGAAAGTACGTAATCCTGTTTTAATTGGCAAGTAGGTACACCTTCACAAGAATAGTATAATTGCTTATCGAATTGAAAAAAATACAAGCAAATGTAATTAAAGAGAAAGCTAATTTGATACAACGCAGTAAGAGAAGTTGACTTGGACTGAGGCGACAGTCGAGGGCAGTTTGTATTTATGACTAATCTGAAAGCATTAAACTGCTAAGCTACTAAATTATTTCTTTGGTTGTAATGTCATTATTTTACTTTCTGCTGCCTTGAAAATTTTTCATCACAAAATGTTTAAACTAACACAAAACAATCTAGTGTGTATTGGAATGTAATAAAAGTGACGGAAATAATTTATTCTATCGGTTGGATAGGTCCAGAACCGTTTTGGACGTCGTGAAGAATAAAATAAAATAAATAAAATAATTTTATAGTGTTGTTAAGAACCTCACTAAAGTGCTATAGATCTATATACAGGTGGTGATCTGTAATACCATAGCTGAAAGAATTTACTGTGTTAAACTTTTTGTTTTTCATTTCCATCTTAGTGACTTAATTGTCTGTATCTAAGTGCACACTTTTAAATTGTGAATACTAATTGTGGTTCTGTCTAATACAATTTAAAATTAATTTCTATGTTGTAATTAAACATGTTTAGACGTGTTAGTAATAATTAGACTATGTTTGTAAACTAGTAATTGTGATACAGCTAGGGTACCATATCCCTCAAATTCACCCAGTTTTACTGGTTTACTAGTACACGAATAGAAAAATACTGCCAAAATAGCAGTGTAAGGTGTCTAGTATTAATAAGCTGTGTCAAGAACAGACTTGTAGTTTGCGTAAAAGAACATCGAGAATAGTGAAGAATGAGAAGTCGGGTGTAATACGTTCGTCAAACTCTCTGTAATTCAGACTGGAATTTTTCTATTTTCCTTTCTTGCAGAACCTTGCCCGTCTCCTTTTGAGATTTCGAAATCGTGTTTTTCGACAGTTGATAGGATTCTTTGCACGTGCCTACACTGGACAGCATAAAAAGCGGGCAGATATTCTTGCCTTGAGCAGGATTCAGACCCACATTCCCAGTATACAAGCAGTTAAGACCCAAGCTCTAGACACAGCGACCACTGTGATGGACTTTCCACTCCACTCTGTTTATAAATAACATGAAGTAATGAAGTTTGGATGTTGTGTGGACGCGTTTTAACTTTCACTTACTGTTAAAAATAAATATGAAACTTGGACATATTTCTTCAGATTGCAGAGATTTATTTCGAAGTTAAATTATTTTAAGTACGCCCATAATTGCGCGTTTTATATGACGAAGTAAATGTTTAATGTTTCTTTGTTCGTAACCTTCGGGGACACATAGGCACAGATGAGAGAATAATATTAAAATTTCTTAGTAAAAAATCGAGTTCGAGGACGTGTAATTTTTTTGTATCCAGCGGCCTGCTCGTGTGAATGCGATAGTGAATCTTGGGTTCTACAAGAGGCGCGGATTCTTTTTGCTAGTTGAGCAACTATTAGTGTCTGAAGGAGAATTCTGTTTCATGGAAAATGGGTTAATATTCTGGTTAATGTGACTAACAAACCACCGATCTTGCGTGACTCATTCACCTTGATATTCATTTATTGCCGTGCAAATCCATAAACTTTTTGCAGGCATTAGTGTGATTTTGCAAAGCTAATCACTGTATATTACAGTAAGTTATTTTCCTTCTATAGGCCCACACCAAAGGCTAGCGTTCTCAACCATTTCAGTTCTTTGAACGAGATAACAGACTTAGGAATTGATGAAAGACTCTCGGGTTACAAGCCACGTCATGTGGCAGAATGGTGAATAAACCATATCTTCCGCCAACGTTTCGAGAGCAATCTCTGCTCTCATCCTCAGGGCTACTGCTTAATAAATCTGGTCCTCTGTAGCGCGCTCGCCGATGGGACTTAGGAACACAAAAAAAGAGATCTGTGAGAATGTAATTCTCTAGTAGTCTATTATTATAGGCCTGTAGGTTGCGTAGGTGGTGTCGCTATTGAAAATAATGTCTAAGTTACCATGAATACATCACATTAAATGCGGCATCGTTGCTAAATGAAACGGCATGGAAAGGATTAGGTATGCTCGTAGTTGCCAGAATTATATGCCTAAAAATAACCAATCGAAAGGATTTAACTACTTCATTTCTTTATAGCCCCCAATGACTAGAGGTCTTTTATTAGTGGTTGTTGAACAGTTTATGATTCTAATCCCCGAGGTTTGGAGTTTACGTGATTCCGGTCCATTTGTTTTAAAGTGAACTCAAGAAATCGGCGCGACTGCAGC